CTGTAGTCAAGATTTGACAGAATAGTTCTAAAAAATTTGGGCGCCGAGTGAGAAGTAGACATTTGTAAAAAATTATATTTGTATAATCTCAGCGATATTGAAATGAGTAATTCCAACGTTTCGTTCGGCAATCTGGTCCGAACTTCTTCAGGGAAATTAATCGAAATTAACATAACAGAGGTTTATATATAAAAGGAACATCTCTTATTTTTAAAAACACTTTGTCCAATCATGAGTCATAAAACAGGCATCAACATGTACAATAAACAAAATTGTATGAGTTGTGATCAAAATTTGACCTCAGACTTACAAATATTGATCTACCTTTGTTAAAAACTTTAAACACAGTGTGTATGTGTGCGGATAAACAGTTGTAAAACAATGTCTTAACGTCTCCATAAGTAGATATAGACAGTCAGGAACTTTGATCAAGTATTATTAGTTAGTGATACATATCCATTCTTATTTATTAATCAGGATTTCCTATGCGTCAGCTAACATCACACCTTCATGTCTGTTCAAACTGTTAGTATCTAGAATCTTATGATTAGACGTATTTTCAAAATTATGGTGTTTAGGATTAGAGTTTAGTTGAAGCACCCTGTCAAACTCATGACTTTGTCTTCTTTCTGAAAATTGAGCTGATTTATTCGACCTACTGGAGTTGTCAGTTGACTGGACAGCTACGGATTTAGGGTACGCATTCTGTTGCAGACAACGGAGAGTGGAAACACGATGATTGTGCCAATTACATAGTTTCTTTGTTAATTTAATTCGATTGCAAAATAAATCAAATGAACTGTAGTCAAGATTTGACAGAATAGTTCTAAAAAATTTGGGCGCCGAGTGAGAAGTAGACATTTGTAAAAAATTATATTTGTATAATCTCAGCGATATTGAAATGAGTAATTCCAACGTTTCGTTCGGCAATCTGGTCCGAACTTCTTCAGGGAATTTAATCGAATTAAATTAACAAAGAAACTATGTAATTGGCACAATCATCGTGTTTCCACTCTCCGTTGTCTGCAACAGAATGCGTACCCTAAATCCGTAGCTGTCCAGTCAACTGACAACTCCAGTAGGTCGAATAAATCAGCTCAATTTTCAGAAAGAAGACAAAGTCATGAGTTTGACAGGGTGCTTCAACTAAACTCTAATCCTAAACACCATAATTTTGAAAATACGTCTAATCATAAGATTCTAGATACTAACAGTTTGAACAGACATGAAGGTGTGATGTTAGCTGACGCATAGGAAATCCTGATTAATAAATAAGAATGGATATGTATCACTAACTAATAATACTTGATCAAAGTTCCTGACTGTCTATATCTACTTATGGAGACGTTAAGACATTGTTTTACAACTGTTTAAAAAAAAAAAAAAAAAAAAAAAAAAAAGTTTTTAACAAAGGTAGATCAATATTTGTAAGTCTGAGGTCAAATTTTGATCACAACTCATACAATTTTGTTTATTGTACATGTTGATGCCTGTTTTATGACTCATGATTGGACAAAGTGTTTTTAAAAATAAGAGATGTTCCTTTTATATATAAACCTCTGTTATGTTAATTTCGATTAATTTCCCTGAAGAAGTTCGGACCAGATTGCCGAACGAAACGTTGGAATTACTCATTTCAATATCGCTGAGATTATACAAATATAATTTTTTACAAATGTCTACTTCTCACTCGGCGCCCAAATTTTTTAGAACTATTCTGTCAAATCTTGACTACAGTTCATTTGATTTATTTTGCAATCGAATTAAATTAACAAAGAAACTATGTAATTGGCACAATCATCGTGTTTCCACTCTCCGTTGTCTGCAACAGAATGCGTACCCTAAATCCGTAGCTGTCCAGTCAACTGACAACTCCAGTAGGTCGAATAAATCAGCTCAATTTTCAGAAAGAAGACAAAGTCATGAGTTTGACAGGGTGCTTCAACTAAACTCTAATCCTAAACACCATAATTTTGAAAATACGTCTAATCATAAGATTCTAGATACTAACAGTTTGAACAGACATGAAGGTGTGATGTTAGCTGACGCATAGGAAATCCTGATTAATAAATAAGAATGGATATGTATCACTAACTAATAATACTTGATCAAAGTTCCTGACTGTCTATATCTACTTATGGAGACGTTAAGACATTGTTTTACAACTGTTTAAAAAAAAAAAAAAAAAAAAAAAAAAAAGTTTTTAACAAAGGTAGATCAATATTTGTAAGTCTGAGGTCAAATTTTGATCACAACTCATACAATTTTGTTTATTGTACATGTTGATGCCTGTTTTATGACTCATGATTGGACAAAGTGTTTTTAAAAATAAGAGATGTTCCTTTTATATATAAACCTCTGTTATGTTAATTTCGATTAATTTCCCTGAAGAAGTTCGGACCAGATTGCCGAACGAAACGTTGGAATTACTCATTTCAATATCGCTGAGATTATACAAATATAATTTTTTACAAATGTCTACTTCTCACTCGGCGCCCAAATTTTTTAGAACTATTCTGTCAAATCTTGACTACAGTTCATTTGATTTATTTTGCAATCGAATTAAATTAACAAAGAAACTATGTAATTGGCACAATCATCGTGTTTCCACTCTCCGTTGTCTGCAACAGAATGCGTACCCTAAATCCGTAGCTGTCCAGTCAACTGACAACTCCAGTAGGTCGAATAAATCAGCTCAATTTTCAGAAAGAAGACAAAGTCATGAGTTTGACAGGGTGCTTCAACTAAACTCTAATCCTAAACACCATAATTTTGAAAATACGTCTAATCATAAGATTCTAGATACTAACAGTTTGAACAGACATGAAGGTGTGATGTTAGCTGACGCATAGGAAATCCTGATTAATAAATAAGAATGGATATGTATCACTAACTAATAATACTTGATCAAAGTTCCTGACTGTCTATATCTACTTATGGAGACGTTAAGACATTGTTTTACAACTGTTTAAAAAAAAAAAAAAAAAAAAAAAAAAAAGTTTTTAACAAAGGTAGATCAATATTTGTAAGTCTGAGGTCAAATTTTGATCACAACTCATACAATTTTGTTTATTGTACATGTTGATGCCTGTTTTATGACTCATGATTGGACAAAGTGTTTTTAAAAATAAGAGATGTTCCTTTTATATATAAACCTCTGTTATGTTAATTTCGATTAATTTCCCTGAAGAAGTTCGGACCAGATTGCCGAACGAAACGTTGGAATTACTCATTTCAATATCGCTGAGATTATACAAATATAATTTTTTACAAATGTCTACTTCTCACTCGGCGCCCAAATTTTTTAGAACTATTCTGTCAAATCTTGACTACAGTTCATTTGATTTATTTTGCAATCGAATTAAATTAACAAAGAAACTATGTAATTGGCACAATCATCGTGTTTCCACTCTCCGTTGTCTGCAACAGAATGCGTACCCTAAATCCGTAGCTGTCCAGTCAACTGACAACTCCAGTAGGTCGAATAAATCAGCTCAATTTTCAGAAAGAAGACAAAGTCATGAGTTTGACAGGGTGCTTCAACTAAACTCTAATCCTAAACACCATAATTTTGAAAATACGTCTAATCATAAGATTCTAGATACTAACAGTTTGAACAGACATGAAGGTGTGATGTTAGCTGACGCATAGGAAATCCTGATTAATAAATAAGAATGGATATGTATCACTAACTAATAATACTTGATCAAAGTTCCTGACTGTCTATATCTACTTATGGAGACGTTAAGACATTGTTTTACAACTGTTTAAAAAAAAAAAAAAAAAAAAAAAAAAAAGTTTTTAACAAAGGTAGATCAATATTTGTAAGTCTGAGGTCAAATTTTGATCACAACTCATACAATTTTGTTTATTGTACATGTTGATGCCTGTTTTATGACTCATGATTGGACAAAGTGTTTTTAAAAATAAGAGATGTTCCTTTTATATATAAACCTCTGTTATGTTAATTTCGATTAATTTCCCTGAAGAAGTTCGGACCAGATTGCCGAACGAAACGTTGGAATTACTCATTTCAATATCGCTGAGATTATACAAATATAATTTTTTACAAATGTCTACTTCTCACTCGGCGCCCAAATTTTTTAGAACTATTCTGTCAAATCTTGACTACAGTTCATTTGACTCTGTTAGTTGGTTTAGTGATTTTCATTGTTATTTTCACCTTTAGTATTTCCTTTCAACTTAACCTAAAGCAATTTTCTCACCCTTTGACTCTTTATAAATTTCATATATATATATATATATATATTCCTACGACAAGTTCGTGTATGTGATCAGTTTATTCGAAATGTGTTGCGTAAATACGACATTACATGATTCAGACAAACTGCGTCTTCTTATCACTTTATCTAAAGTGTATTGTGACAGTACAGGTTAGGAAAAAGATAATGAGATGGTATATAAACAGAGAAGCAAAACTTTGAGACTGAAAATGAAATAATTTCTCTATATCACATGTAACCTCAAAATGTCACTGAGTTGAGAAAGGGTTTACACAAATATAGTCGATGTATGGCGTACTGATGAAGAGTCCAAAATTGGGACAAAACAGCTGTCCAATACTCCAGGTTTTCCACTGTTTCTCTAACGAATGTCAACTCATGATGAAATCCTCTATCCAACCAACCAAATCCCCACAAACTAATACTTAAATATAGTTTTGTTTGGAGATATAAAAATATGACTTCAATATAGCCATCCCTCAAGCTAATGAAGAGAATCGCCCACAGCATTGTTCTCAAAGTTATTGTGAAAGAATGCACGTTATCAGGAAATAAAGTAATAGATTATGAATGTGATGATTTCAGCTATAAACGTTGTGTAAATTATATTGAACATATGCACACAGAACAATGTTTCTCTTACCCCATGTACAAAGTACACGAATCCACTTTGATGTTATTTAAGCTAAACGATTCACGAGATATATAAGAAATATAAAATCACAATACATTAAAGGTGCATGAAATGAAAATAAAATGAATACAAGTAATTCTATTCTTTTGATTATCATGCTGACTAACTAAAAATGTTGTTGTATTTGTTTCTTATTTTTATGCGACCATTTATCTATATCTAAATGATTGCTAATGTTACCAGATAAAATCGGATATAACTAGACCTGGTAGGCCGTTAGAATAAAATGGGAGAGTTAAATGGTGATAAATGCACTAGTGAAATAAGGCGAGATGTGATATAGGTCAGCATCTGCCTGATTTACGGTCGATTTGAAGCTGAAATTATCGGTAAAGATATTGTGGGAGTGGAGAGTGGCTGCTATACAATACAACTATCTACTGCAGTCAGCAAAACATCGTAAATTTGAGTTTTACTATGCAATCACCAATACTACTTCTGTTATGTTGTGTTATGTATACCACTTTTGAAGGAACCTCCATAACGTCTCAGCTTATCTCAATCCTGTATAATTGACTTCCTCTTCATTTTGATTCGACTGTTAGAAATACATGAGCACAGTGAAATTGACTTTGAAATATCCATTTCATTTCTGTGCTATGAAATTTACGTTGTTTCAAAATATTCTTATTGACTGGTTATAAAATTTTGTCATGAGGTGATATCTGTTACAGAAGCATTGGAAAACCACATAGGAGTACTGGACAGCTGTTTCGTCAGCCTAGTTTGGGACCCTTCAGCAGTACGCAGTCACTGGGATTCAAAACCAGGAATTTCAGTTCCAAGGCGAGCTAGCTCGTGGACCATTAATCCACTGAGACCAGATTCAATGGTCAGCTCATGAAGTCTGACTTCTGCCGATTCATGACATGGCGACTGGCGTTATTCAGTTAGGTAATTACCTGGGTTCTAGTGGGAAGTCATGACCAGTAGGGTGCAGTAGGTCGGGTGTGAAGACAAATACTTGTCGAAGACATTGACTAATGGTCGCGATATGTCGTAAATTGGTGAAAGCTAGAATTCATGGGCTAGCCATTGAACTTAGTCCCAGTGGATCAATGGTCCACGAGCTAGCTCGCCTTGTCAATGAAGTTCGTGGTTTTAAATCCCAGTGGGTGCGTACTGCTAAAGGGTCCCAAACTAGGCTGACGGAACAGCTGTCCAGTACTCTCACGTGGTTTTCCTGTGGTTCTCTAACAGATGTCAGCTCATGATGAAACCAAGTAACCAATCAGTCAAATCCCTATAAACCAGTACTTGAATATTCTCATTGACATGTGGCTTTCTCTTTCAGATCCTTTAGATATGCTTCGTTCTAAGAAAATATCTGTGGTAATTTCAAATAATTTCAGTTCAAACTGTTTCACTCTAGCTGTCGTACAAAAAGTCTTCGTCGATTCGTAGTTTCTTTCTGCAGGTATGAAGTTTACATTGGGTTATTAGACATGTTTAGTTAACTATATACACCACCATATTGATGTTCATGACTATTCTAATTACCCAGTTGATATGTGACATGTAAGACAATTCATAATTTACTCGAAATCAATAACCCTTTTCTTAATTCACAGAGAAAGTTTCCAAATGTTCATCAAAGATTACATTGTCGTTCCATTTGTTCTATTGTAAGTTACTTTTTTGGAAAAACTGGTACTTTGCAAGAAATTCGTGATAATTGAATAATTCATCTTCAAACATTTTAATCAACAGGAAATTGGTTTTGTTTACATTCCGGAAACCATTAAAACTTGCCCTTCAAATTTGATATCATATAAACACATCTAAACAGAAAGTTCATTCAAAACTGTTTCAATGGTATATACATCAGCTGTGTGCAGAATAACACGTGATGATACAGGAAAACGGCAACATGCTTGTCCACAAGTGATGAACATTTTAGCTTCTCTGTCGTGGTTGGGAATAAATAAGTTACATCGAAGTTTATATGACAATGAAATGCGTTTTTCTTTGTTCTCGTTTTTCTTCGCAGTGTAATTGGGTCAGTACTATTTTTGGTTGTTGTTGTAAGCGCAACAAAGTTATCTCAACATCGTCTCGTCTTCTTCGCCATGATTGCATTAACTGTAAGTGTTATTTCCACTCATAGTACTGATTTACAAGGTGTTGTTTTATTGGCCATAATAGTTCACTAAAATTAAAATACCTTCCTATTCTGTCTATCACAATTAGGCGAACTGTATCGGCTGTTTTGATTCAATTGAAAGCAACCTACAAAGATTTTCATTTTCATCATCAGTCTTGCTGGTTATGGAAATTGCAGTTTGCAGCTGCAACTAGGCACAAATTCGATTTGATTACCTCCATGCTCCACATGCAAAGGTAATATACGCTGCTACTTTTCATAAGGAGTTCATGGGAATGTGTCAAAACAATATAACACTGACATTTTCATTCCCATTGTGACAGCCAGCGATTTAAATTTGTCAACGACAATAAAACATCACTTGTACGTGAAGTTTATTTCGTACTGATGGAATCTCTGTCAGCTTTACACAAGATGGTGTGATTTAAGATGGTGTCTTGAGATTCTTCTTCATTTTATGTATGCTTAAGTGATCACTAGGCATACAAAGTTATCTTTAATTATGCCTTAGTAGGCAGTGATTGTTATGTAGAAGATTATGACCTATCATCATAGGTGGAAAACTTTTAAATACACATGTAACTAAACAGTCAGATAAACGACTGTAATTCGGGCATTCAGTGAATAGCTTCTTGACCAAGCTTCTATCAAAGCCTATGACGGTAGATTCATTTTCTCAACGACAAATGTAGTCGCAAGAATACCCTTGAAGCCGACCATTATATCGGCTTTATTAGACTAAACAATGAAGAAATACGATTGCAATTCTGAGTCAAGAAATAATAAACCTGACCTAGACGAACGTTTTAAGGCTCATTTTGATAAAAACAGGATTGTATTTGCATCTTTCATTTAGGCGTACACTGATGATTTTATTCTATTCCCGCTGGTATTATGATCCTGTTATTTTGAGATATTAAGCAGGGTTATTTTCACTGAGTTCATCAAGACATAATGAAACGCCTAAGCAAAACTTGTAGCTTAAAGTGCGTCATAATGCTTTGAGATAGATCTTTAAGGCTCCAGATCACATTGGTGCCTCTTACAAAATAATTACAGTCGAATAAAATTATTCGGCCAAAATTCAACCATAAGAAGTCCTCTACAGTCAAGCAGTAGGCTATGATCAAAGCTTTGTCATCAGGAATCTCACCACGGACTTCATGCAGACGACGCAGGGTCCGAATCACTTTTATTCCCTCAAACAAAATAAAACTGTTAAACGACACATCATCAATATCATCACACAACCACAAAGAGAAGTATCACAATAAGAGAATAAACAGGAACGACGATAAATAATAAGGATCTGGTCAACGTATGAGATGCATTGTGGGAGAGAAAGGAATGATAATATGAAATGCTGTAATAAGATCATTCAGGCTGGATTTTTTAAACAATTATTCTGTTACAAATACTGTCTTACTAAATTGAGAAATATAAATAAGAAAGTCACTCTACATACTTCATTGCTTAACCTCTGTATGTGAACAGAAGTTGACTGAATAAAAAACCCACCGGGTGTTTGAACATAATGCGTGCATATGCGCAGACTAAAAGACTGAATACGCGTGATTCAGCTTGTTACATTTCATAGAATGTATCGCTATGACAGAATTCTGTTTCATTTTCAGGTTATATTCTGTTCCATAGGCATTACTGCTGTATGCGCTGGGATAAAAATAGGATATAATATCCTGGCTGTGCTGTTGGCGATAGCGTCCTCTGTGGCAGCCATATTTCTTGGTTATATGATACCAAAAATATCAAAAAGACTCTGGATATCATTAATAAGCATAGCTTGTGGATTTATATTGTGTGCTTTGATCTTTCTTTTCTTACTTCATTACAGTGTAAGTAACCATTCGTTGGAGACCTATTCTTGAAAAAATAATTGATTTTAAAATGACATAATGTGACTGTTTGGTAATTTTATAGTTAAACCACAACCTGAATGACCGCCATTCCAGATGGCATTTAAACGTTTGACTCTTAATCCTGTCCCATCCTGCGAACCGTAAGTTTCACAGTTAGCAGACTCCTTCATACATACACACTGTTAAAATGCCGTGGAGTGATTAGTCTGTGGGTCATGTTATTCAACAGAAAAGGTAAACATATCTTTAAATTGATTGATTTACTCACATAAAAACTACCTTGTTTTCACCTCTTTCTTACATGAGTCCGTTGATTTGACATTGAATCACTTTCTGTGAATATAATTCGTTGCATCATACATACCTAACCGAACAGTTAGCATTTTCACTTGGTTCCACTAATTTATTGTATTTCTGTAGCGATAACATCCTATTTGGTATACTTGTACTTCGCTTAAAACTGTTACCGTGGTCCAGATCAAAGACTAATTTTTTGTTCAGGTGCTAAGAGGAAAATAACAGAGCATTGAATTTCAACTGGTGATGTATAGCTCGAGTTATAATGTATGTCTTCCCTTCATTTACTTGTTAAAAATTATTTGGAATAAATTGGTTTCTAGAAAAATGATTTCAGTGCGAGCATTGGTAAAATAACAGAAATAAAGGGTTAAAATAATATCGAAAGGACTGAACTTTTAGTGGCTTATGGCAAAGTCATTTCAATAAATATTCCATGCTATCTCAACGGAGCATTTGATAGGAGAAATTTAGAATTTTATACAAGAATTCAGATGCATTCTCCAAATGTGCGTCGGTGGCACAGTGGTTAGGACTCTCACCGACCATGTACATGGTCCGGGGTTCGAGCCCACGCCGACACACATCTGATATCCATGATCGGCCTGCGAATTTTGGGCTACCGATATCCATGCTGAAAATTCCACACTTGTACCAAAAATATGGTGTGGAATCAAGCTGTAATCAAAAATAAAAAAATAAAAATCTAGAATTTTTACCTGAGCGATGATTGAGGCCATATTTGGTTCATTTAGCAAACGGCAAAACAGATGAAGATGCAGGCAAATACCAGA